CCGAACTACTTTTAAAAAGTCGTTAGATTCTAAATTCCCAGTCAAAAATTTCAATTAATCTAACTAAGGTTAAGGTCCCCTAGAATTACTACGTTATCGTGCCTTGCGGCCTTAACAATTTCCTCCCAAAGTAGTCTTCCTTGGTCCCTATCTAAGTTTGAGGGATAGTATATCACGCCAAAAATCAATTTTTCATACGCCTCTGAAAATTCTATCCAGACTCTGTGTTATTTCAGACTTTATACCCGCTTTTATGCAACAGTTTAAACGATCGCCGAAGTAAAGTGCCATCCCAACCCCCCTTACCGATACTTCTGTCTACTTGAAACAATTTAAAACCCTGTATGTGACGTTCAGCAGGCATGTCCCGATTTTTTTTCACATTAATCCACGTCTCAGTTATGGCAAAAACATAAATGTGATGAATGGTTTTGAAAACCTACAAGTTGAAGAATTGAGACAATCAAGCCACAACGCAATGTAAAACATTGCCCTCGGGAACATTTCCATTGCATTTAGCCTCTTCCTCACTACAACATTCACAACCCATGTTAGATTTCTCAGGACTTTTAGACCTACTTTTCTATTTTGATTTCGCATACAAGATTATCTGTAGTTGGCACTGTGTGCCAACAGAAACTCTGATATTTTGTGAATATTACTAAATATAAAATTTAATGTTACTTTAATTTTATTGCTTGTTCTATTCAGCATTTTGTGTTCGCGTATTTATCCACAACTCTGCTATCCTACTGATCAGGCCCAAATTTTCAAAGGACTCCAAAAGATTCTTTGAGTTGATTGCTCCTTAATGACACTGGAGGGCTGCACTGATTGCTTACTGGATGGCACATTGTACTAAAGAGGTAATAGCGTCACTTTCCACAGATTCTGGCAATCAGCATGATTGATTAAAGGCGATAAATAAATACTACTTTCATAAATAGCCATTGGAGGCTGTTTAGAAAATAATAGTTTTTAAACTTTTATCATTGTAGCTGCCTTTTAATCATTATATTTCCAACATGCATTCTCAAAATTATAGCTATGTTTATTAAACCAGTTTTTTATATAATACACAAAATCAACTCTCATAAGGAAAAGCCAGTAAATACATCAAATGTAAACCCTAAAATCATCGTTTAAATAAACAAAGAAGAAAGTTTTACTTACCATACCGTAGAGGGAGGACACTACTCAGTATACTGTTGCTGGACCTGAAGTAATGCGATGGAAAACACGATACTCTTCCTCTTAAATTTATACAGGATACACGCCCAAGGACAGGACGCGTGTGTTTGCTATGTCTCACTTTGAAGAACAAACGTGCTCGTCAACCTCAACGCTGTTAAATGCAATGATACAAGTTGTTTCGTACAAACTAATTAAATCATTTACATCCTTGGTCACAGTAGTTTAGTCTACAACTAATGTTGTCGAGTGTCGACATCTTGAAAATTACTCACTCATACCTGCATACACACAGAAATACATATGCACGTTCACATTAAATATGTTGCTACACAAGCATCAATATAAAAACTATAACCAAACTCCTAACCGCAACATAACTTTTAGCTCAGTACTCACGGCGTTCTGTTTACACCCAAAACCTCCCAGGAATAATCCTCGAGCAAGCCGAGACGAATGAGCATTTCCACGAAGAACTAAAAGGCACTATACAGTGACTTTGTAAATGATCCAAGTCGGACCGAAACGTCGTCGTAAGTTTCTGTCTCTCCTATGTACGAGTTATTTGTGTAATGAGCAAATTCTATACCTCTTGCCCCTATTCATCTAGAAATAACATAGGTGTCTGGATTTTAGTCAACTGTTGTTGGTCGCACATAGAGATGCTTATTAAAATAATGCATAAGATGGATATCATTAGCACTGCTTTGCTCTAATAAGTACAAAAAAGATTACATGAAAATTCGCAGCAAGGAAAACAGGTAATTAAAATTATGGCAATTTTTATACGCTATTTTTGCTCAAATTTATCTAAAATAGTTTAACTTGCCTAATCTAACTTTCGAAGATCCCAGGCAGATAATAACATAAGAAATATGATAACCAAATATATGATTATGAAAGGATAAGCTAAAACAGATAAGTTTTTTAACACAACAAATTGAATCAGACGTCACAAATGTAAAATACAGTGGTAGACTGTGGGAATGGAATACACGAGAATGATACCATATTACAATTCACTCTTTCATTTATACATGCATCATTCATAATTATCATTGATTTCCATTAGGTAACTGAGGGATATGTTCCTCAGATTAGTAAATCAAGCACCTACATCTTCTCCTGAAAAGAAATAATTGTGACATTCTTAATGACAACAGTGGTCAAAGGTTGACGAAAAATTCACACACAGCAACCGTGACAAATGTTAACACAGTCACTACCTTGAAAAAATGCATTATGGTTTTTTCCCTAAGGACCTCGTTAACAACGTGTTTATACGAAAGAGAGAAACGAGAAGCTGACAAGAATTTAAATTGCAAATATTGGATAAGAAGCGTGTAGCTCCATGTATACACATCATTTGTAAATTGCCGAGTTATTAATACTGCAAACATTGAGCTGGAATTTGATTTATGTATTTTATTGCATGGAGTTGTTTACCGAAAATAAGTATTTCCTTACCCTACAATTTGGAGTTCAGATAATCTTTGACTGAAAAAGTAAAACTAATTTTACAGATAATTGCATCACATAACTTTTGTTAGGTATGAACAGCGCTGTATGACCCCTGGTGGTTTAGCGCTCAGTTTTGATTATAATAATAATGTTTAGTGTGAAAGTTAACCCATTCAAATTTAGTTGAAAAAATGACAATCTTACTCACTTCGTTATGTTTTCACTTTAATGCTGTTTCGTACTCTGTGTCAGCATTTGTCACAGCAATCATAGCGGCTTCTAGCATGGGCGTCAGTTAAAATCTGATTCCATGATGATCATTTGTGTACTGATTCAGTGCATCAGGTGTCCGTGTTTCTGTAGATTATACATGCATTGTTTTACAGATTTCTGTTGTACTGATTTTTGTGCTCACTTCTCCTAATAGACAGACTTCTACCTGTTTCGTGGACATATTTCTTCTCACAGTAACCACATGGGATAGTGTATAATCCGATGATTGAAACTGGTTAGTGAGTAGTGCGTAGGCTAACTTTCTAATGAGTTGTTCCTAGCCAATGCATGTGACGCATTGCCGGCTACATTTCTGCAAGGGAGGGCCACGTACTTCTTTTGCGTTTTGTTCCCTAGATTTGGTGATGAGGTCAACCTTTGAGCTTCGTCTACAGTCTCGCATGCGACTTCGGTTCCTTATCTTTTTCATACATGAAAAGCAAATGCCATCCTTAACACGACACCAAGGGAACGAACTGACAAGAGATACGCGGTCCTTCCTTGCGGCAATGTAGCTAGTAATACGCCACATGCACCAGTTAGGAACAAGTATTCCGGCATTCACAACCTTCAAAGGACCCCAATGGAAATTAATCGGTGTCTAACTTTTTTGAGTTACCCTAAGTAATTTACACTATGTATGATAATTGTACTTACGTGTACTTGTGCCTAAATGAACTTACAAAGAACTCACTAGACGGCGACCCTCTACCCACCGACCAGTCTCCATTACCGGAGTCCACACGATCCCACGTGGCCATTATAAGAAGTACGTGGGGTAAAGAGGTAGGAGTCTGCCCAGTAGAAAAAGTGAGCACAAAATGGCATTCAGCAGATAAACGAAAAAAATCATGCATTATCCAGAGACACAGATAGGAACTCCTGGTGCGCTGGAACAGGATTCAGAGAATATTCATGGAAGCAGTTCTCAGCAGACGCCGATTTTTTGTAGTCACAATGATTCCTGTAACAAATACTGCATCACGCTAGTACACCTGATAATCGACCAAACGTCTCCCAGCCCATCACCAGATTTGGCTGTCAGTTATACATACACTTATTAACATTGAGAAAGAAATGTGCTCTGTTTTTAAATTATTAGTAGGTGCCCTTGAAAGGGGACCTTTAAGTAGGTGCCAGAATTTGTTTTTCTCTTTTCTTCATTTTTTCATTTTTCATTCAAAACAATTATGGAATTTTCGGTGCTAGTGGGCTTTATTAAAAGGAAACTTGGTTTTCAGTTTGAGCTATGTAAATTTTAAATTGTCAGTTTTAGTAAATAAATTGGTTTCCATGAAAGAACTAGATAATACCTCTCTTGGTCGGCTTGTTGTCTTCTTTTACTGATTTTATATGTGTCTATATGTCAGTTTTATAGATTTTTTTTTTATTAAATTGGACTTTATTTAAAAAGCACAAAATATTATTTTTTTCTCAGATATTTGTAGAGTGTTTTAAATAGTATATAGCTGCAAAAACAAAATTGAGAAATATTGAAACTCGATTTTTATAGCATTTTTTTAATTTTCACGAGTTTAATGAACCCTTAAATACTGTATCACTTAATGACTGAGCCGATGCATCGCAAGTTAATGTTCTCATTTCCCACTAACTTCCTCCGAGACTTTCGTTCATAACTTCAAAACGTCTTTTCCAATTGACTTAAAGTTTTCTACCTGGGTTATTTATAACTAAATGAAAAAATCGTGGAATAAATAACAAGTGCAGGTTCCCTCTGCTCTAATGTAGATCATTTCTGAAACTGGTTTTAGTGCGGTAACTTTAGAAAGCCTTCTTTGATCGACTTCAAAATAAGAACACTCTTGTAACCTACTTAGAGGAAAGAAAGAGCATTCTAATGTAGAATCTGGACATGTCATTGCTCAAGCAAGTTAAACTTCAAGGATATTCACTGTATACATTCTCTCTGGTCGCCTTAATGAGGATAGTATTTAATGAATCACTTGGCAAAGTTTTAATAGAAAATCACGACTCGACTTACCAAGAGACGACAACAAACTCCTGCAACATGACCTTGGGCGTCTTACATGCACAACTTTAAATGGGACTAGCAGGTGAGTTGAATGTACACTTCTCTTCCATCACCCCAGCTATAATGGTAAGCTGCAAGCTTTATAATGTCTGGTTTTTGGTTACTCTCCACACTTATCTCATATATATATATATATATATATATATATATATATATATATATATATATATATATATATATATATATATATATATATATATATATATATATATATATATATATATATATATATATATATATACAATATTTATATTTCATGGATAATATTTTAGTCAAAAAAATAATAAATATTTTTTTGCATACTAAGAATCTTTAGATTTTTGTTACATATTGAAAGCAATGTGGAAACAGTAGTCATATTAAGAGAAAATTAGAATTTCTCTATCAAAAATAAAAGCCATTATTTTTATCCTAGAACAATATCAACATTACTTCATATGGTTTGATAAGATACACTACACTGCTCCATCAGTGACACTTGGATGTGATATCGTCTTAGGCTGAGTCCTCACCCCTTGCTGCAATACAATATTTTGCTGGATTTGAATGGCAGTAAACAAGCAAGTATTTAATCCTTCGTAGGTCTTAAACACAGTGTTGGCTGCTTGAGTGTCTTGAAAGTTCAAATCTGTCATATATATGTTGAGATGGGGTAAAATACAAAAGTTTCAGTAGAGCCATTAAATACCAGTGAATAATGTAACAAACATCTGAGATCATTATTGCATTTACACACACATCTTCGGAAGAACTAATTCTATAGAAAAGAGATTATGTAAACGCACGAATACTCGCAAGTGTTTCTCTTTCCATGTGTTTTGTTTATTCATATAAAGTGGTGAAGTGTTAAATCAAGCTTTATTGCATTAGTTCCAAATTTAGTTTTTTTCCGAAGGTTAATTTCAGTTAATTTTAAGACACCAATAAGTATGGAGATCAGTGGTAATAACCACAAAACGCTTGGGATTCACTCCTGGTAATTAGCTTTCCATTAGACATCAGGTCATAGAGACACTTCTCTCGTTTTTCATCATTTCAGTTGAAGAAGCAGTGTGTTACGGCTGAGTGATATTGACTCAGGATATTTGTTTATAGCGATTTTACTTTACGTACTTTCAAGAAATTGTGAGCTACCAAAATCTGTCTTTGGATGTAAGATTTATCGGCTAACTTCACATCACTTAACAATCACACTGTGTACCTTTTGTCTCTGTACTGAAAATTAATGATTAGTACTCACATAGAAAAGATCTCTCACACACACATGACATTAGTAACCGCGATAATGCTTCAGTTGTTTATAAATAAAAATTCAGAGGTATATATATAAATACATATATGCACTGAAATAATTTTAAGCAAAGTAAATGTATAATAAATAACATAGTATTTCAAGAGGATTTGGATAGACTGACTATGTGAAAAATATTGTAGAACATTTAAATACTTTGAAAATGGAAAAAAAATTATAGTAGGTGAAATGAAAATTATAAATTAGATAATTAATCTTACAGACATCTAATAAAGATATGGATTTTCGAGTTATTGCTAAATAAGATAACAACAAGGAGTATATAAATGCATTTGTAGGAGAATCTAATGGAAGAAGAGATACAATATAAACAGCGCTAAATGTACTGTATACTTGACCCAAATAAAAGTACATTAATGTTAAATAGTGTATGATGACCTTAGAGAAATAATTATGAAAGGAAAAAGTACAGAGGCGTGCCCAAAAGCTGATCTTAAATTAAAAAAAAAATAAGTCGAAGAGTAAAAGATTAAAAATTATTTTCTCTGGGAACCAGAAAAAAAAAGATGGCACACCATTAAACTTATATATAAACGGAAGCGTGATAACTGAAAGGAAAAGTTCTTACAGCATGGAAAATAAACACACTTAAAGGTTAAAATTTCAAAATACTTTAAAATATTAGTGTTAACTTTAAGAGACAGTTGTGATAGTTGAAATGTACTCCAAGAAGACGTTGTGTATTGTGTTACCAGTCAAAATATTACGACATTATTTTTGGAAGAAGGAAAACCAAGAACGAACTCTACTCAAATAGGTTTTTTGCACACTCGGATATTCATATCACATACACACTCACAAACACACACACACACACACACAAGCACACATACACACACACACACACACACACACACACACACACACACACAAGCACACATACACACACACACTCACAAACACACACACACACACACACACAAGCACACATACACACACACACACACACACACACACACACACACACACACACACACACACACAAGCACACATACACACACACACACACACACACACACACACACACACACACACACACACACACACACACACACACACACACACACACACAAGCGCACACACACAAGCACACACACACACACAAGCACACACACACATACACACACACAGGCAGGAACCATACATAGTTTTAAGAAGAGGTATGACAAAGCTCAGGAAGCAGAGAGAGAGAGGATCCAGTAGCGATCAGTGAAGAGGCGGGGCCAGGAGCTGAGTCTCGACCCCTGCAACCACAATTAGGTGAGTACAATTAGGTGAGTACACACACACACACACACACACACACACACACACACACACACACACACACACACACACACACACACACACACACACACACACACAAACGATAGAGTGGGAGAGGCACTGTCAACAAATTTTGCTCTGAATAAAAAAAATTGGAGAGAGCTAAACAGGTTAAGAAAGCCTAGGGATTGAATGGATTTCAGTTAAAAACAGGGTCCTGACGGACTGTTGGAGTGTGAGCAGGGTAATATTTAGTGAAGGGATTCAGGGAAACCGGTTAGCTGGACTCGAGCCCTGGAAATGGAAAGTACAATGCCTGGGGTTTAAAAACTTTAGGACTCATGCAATGTTAGTTTTCTTTGTTGTTCAAGGTTTTCTGAATGTTATTCAAGGTTTTTACATTTAGTTTACTATTACACTGTGCATTCTATGTTATAATTAGCTATCTATGTGCTTAAAAATCTTAAAAAAAAAAATATTTATATACAGTTCATAGCGGTCTGGAACGGATTAATCGTATTTACATACAATCCAATGGGGAAATTAGGTTCGGGTCACCACCAAATAGGATCGTGATCAGAGTTTTGGAACGAATTATGGTCGTGACCAGAGGTTCCACTGTACTGCGTTTCCTTAATATTCTGAAGCTAGCTTTTTGCAAACCTCCGTGATCCCCACCTTCCCTTACCCCGGGATTGGTGGCAGCCCTCACTCTGTGACATGGGCTGCCACTGATACCTTCTGCCTTGCCTCAGAGAATTTCCCCTCCTATCTGTCGCTGTCTTGCAACACTGCATAGCTCCTAATGATGCACGGGAGTGCGAAAGATTTAGAGCGAAAGATTTCCATTCTGCATATACAGTGGTACTTCAATATTCGTATGTCTCTATATTCGTACAACTCGATATTCGCCCAAGTTTTTTCGAGAAAAATTTGTCTCGGTATTTGAACGTTGTCCTGATATTCAACCTAAACAAAACAGTCAATCTGGACAAAATCTCATCAGCTTTCGTTCGTTAAGCATCGTTTGTACAAGCTCCTTGAAAATTGTTGGTATTTCATTATTATTCTGTGTTTTTTTATTAATGTTTTAATTGAAAATAAATAATCATGGCACCGAAAAAGAGTGTTGATCCAAACAAGCCTAAAAGGAAAGCTGTGAGAGCAACAGTCAAAATAAAAAGAGAACTCGTTGCAAAGTGGGAAAGTGGAGCATGTCGGACCTGGCCACTCAATATATGCTGAAATCCACCATATCGTCCATATTGAAAAGAGGCAATATAATGGGCTAATGTGGAGAAAGAAGTGAAAATTCTTGCCGAGATAAGGTCACAGGTAACTGAAATGGATTAATAAAAAACAATTGGCAGGTGACAGTGTTTCTGAAACAATAATTTGTGAAAAAGCAATGCAGTTATATACTGATCGTAGGCGAGACACCCTAGGGAAAGTGCTGAAAGTGATGGATGTGAGGCAAGTAGGGACTGGTTTGATAGGTTTAAAAAGAGAAGCGTGATTCATAGTGCAGTATAGAATGGCAAGGCTGCCAGTGCTAACAGAGATGAGGCTGAAATGTTTGTTAGGTAATTTAAAGCCTATGTAGATATTGAGGGATTTATTCCTCAACAAGTTTTTAATTGTGATGAAACCGGCCTCTTTTGGAAAGGAATGCCTAAGAGGATCTACATCACACAAGAAGAAAAATCATTACCAGGACACAAGACCATGAAAGACAGGCTAACACTCTTGAGTGGTAATGCTAGTGGAGACTGCAAAAATATAAATCATTACTAGTCTACCACTCTGAAAATCCAAGGGTGTTTAAGAAAACTATGTGATTAAAGTAAACACAATGTCATGTGAAGGGCTAATAGTAAAGCTTGGGTAACAAGGCAGTTCTTCACTGAGTGGATACATGAAGTGTTTGTCCCTAGTGTGAAGCAGTACCTTGCAGAAAAAAAAAATTACCATTAACGGCACTTATGATCCTGCTCACCCTCAAGGCTTGGAGGAAAATTTGGTAGATGAATACAGCTTCACTACTTCTCATATCCAACCCAGGGACCAGCAGGTGATTTCCAATTTAAAGAAGCTTTACACATAAAACACTGTTTAAAAGATGCTTTGAAGTGACCTCTGAAACAGGGAATTTTGGAAAAACTATTTTAATATCCGGCAGTGTTTAAGGATAATAGACGAAGCCTGGGAAAAAGTTTCTTTCAGGATAATGAGCTCTGTCTGGAAGAAATTGTGGCCAGACTGTGTGTCAATCAGAGATTTTGAAGGCTTTGAGGCAGAGCCTGCAGTGAAGGATACTGTTTCTCTGGGCCAGCCCATGGGATTGGAAATGAACAATGAGGATGTAGAGGAGTTGGTGGAGGATCACAACAATGAGCTCGTCACAGAACTTCAAGCCTGAACAAGAAGCAGTAGGAAGTGGTTGAGGAAATTTCTTCTTCAAAAGAGGGAAGCAGTAAGGGTAACATTTCCACTGTAGAAGTTAAGAGACTATGTTACCATTGGGTTCAAACACAGAGCCTGGTGGAAAAATGGCATTCTAACATTACTGCTGTGAATAGGAGCATCAATCTGTTCAATGACATTTTTGTTGACCATTTTGGAAAAAAATTGAAAGTCGTCAAAAGCAGATAACATTGAGCAGCTTTTTTAACAAAGAAAAAAAATCAAATGCTAGTGACTCCCCCGCCATCTTCAAGTGCTGCTGCACAGATACAGAAGAGAGAAAAAAACACCAGACAGGCAGTTACCTGATGTTGTTATGGATGGTGACAACCTTTCCAAACAATAACCTCCCTCCACCTTCCTCTTGCGCCATCAGCAGTCCTTAGTATAGTTAAGGGCAGTTAAAATTTAATTTATTTCATGTATTTATTGTTTTTATAGTTTTCAAGTATAAAACAACCATTGTGAAATAATAGTGTTTTGCATATTCTTATATCACCTGTTTACTGTGATCTTATTGTGTATATTATATATATATAATTATATAATATATATATATAATTATATATATATATATATATATATATATATATATATATATATATTCCTATTGGTAAAAAAAAAGTTTAAAAGATGGGGTGGTAGGGGAAGTGGAATATTCAAATGGCTTCAGGAAGAAATCCAAATTTCTTCCTTGAAGCCTTTTTATCCACATCTATTATTATTATATATATATATATATATATATATATATATAATATATATATATATATATATATATATATATATATATATATATATATATATACAAATCGAAAAGGCTTTCGACAGCTCCCCCAGTGAGGAAACTTAAGCTGTGATACTGAAAAAAAAAATACCCTTACGAGAAAATAGGATCGGAGAAGTCCCATCAATCAGCAGTTAAGGACTCAAGAACCACTGATTCTAGTGTCTTACGTGACTTATGAACCTTAATAAACCTTCTTTAGCCGTAAGACTTAACTTAGAGATACCTAACAATAGGGAGTTATTAAAGTAATTTTGAAAGATACGTGTAGAATAAAATCATTTGGCTATGAATTGGACCCGCATCGTACAGGCCAGTAGTCCTGTTGCAATCCTGTTCATGTTAATAAGACACTATGCGGTCTAAGGCATTTTGTTGAGAAGACGTTTTGCCCACCAGTGCACTGAGAGTTTGATAAAGTCACTGGCGAACGAAACGTCTTTTCAATAAAGTACCATAACCGCATATTGTTCCTTTAACATGCTTGTCGATGTATAATAACATGCACACAGACATCATAATGTTTACACTGCCTTGTGTCACGACAATTTTCAGTTATCTGATAATCCACTGTATTTTATTCACCCCATAAATGAAAGCTCAGTTTAGTTAATCTCTCACATTAGATTTAAGACCAACGTTGTTTTATTGACCAACATTAATGTGAAGATAATACAACCGTACTGACTCTTGTTCTCTTTCTTCCTTGCGTCCCGGTGATGATCAGCGCACGGGTGTGGTAGCGGTGGCCCTGGTGGCCCTGGTGGCCCTAGCAGCCGCAAGATACCAGACCAGTGTCCCCGACCATGCTGCAGAAGATGCTAGTGACAATGTAGAACAAGAAGATGTAGAAGACGCCACTGACAATAAAAAACGAGACTTACTTTCAAATTTAAAATCTACAGTGGGTGGAATGTCACCATTTGGCATGGGAGGGAATCCATTACTTGGTAAAGGTGGTGCAGGTACTGGCATGGGAATGGGAAGTGGCAGCGGTGGAAGTGGTATTGGAATGGGTGTTGGAATGGGAAGCGGTAGTGGTGGTGCAAGTGGTATTGGAATGGGAATGGGAAGTGGGAGTGGTGGGGGAAGTGGTACGGGAATGGGAATAGGAATGGGAAGTGGTAGTGGTGGTGCAAGTGGTACCGGAATGGGAATAGGAATGGGAAGTGGTAGTGGTGGTGTAAGTGGTACTGGAATTGGAATGGGAAGTGGGAGTGGTAGGGGAAGTGGCACTGGAATGGGAATAGGAATGGGAAGTGGTAGTGGTGGAAGTGGTACTGGAATGGGAATGGGAAGTGGTAGTGGTGGTGGAAGAGGTACTGGAATTGGAATGGGAAGTGGGAGTGGTGGAGGAAGTGGCACTGGAATGGGAATAGGAATGGGAAGTGGCAGTGGCGGAGGAAGTGGCACTGGTTTAGGAATGGGCAGTGGCAGTGGTGGAAGTGGTACTGGAATAGGAATGGGCAGTGGCAGTGGTGGAAGTGGTACTGGTATAGGAATGGGAAGTGGAAGTGGTACTGGTATAGGAATGGGCAGTGGCAGTGGTGGAAGTGGTACTGGTATAGGAATGGGAAGTGGCAGTGGTGGAAGTGGTACTGGTATGGGAATGGGAAGTGGCAGTGGTGGAAGTGGTACTGGAATAGGAATGGGCAGTGGCAGTGGTGGAAGTGGTACTGGTATAGGCATGGGAAGTGGAAGTGGTACTGGTATAGGAATGGGCAGTGGCAGTGGTGGAAGTGGTACTGGTATAGGAATGGGAAGTGGAAGTGGTGGAAGTGGTACTGGTATGGGAATGGGAAGTGGCAGTGGTGGAAGTGGTACTGGAATAGGAATAGGTACTGGAACAGGTGGTGATAAAGGGGGAAGTGGTATAGGAATGGGAATGGGTACTGGAACAGGTGGTGATAAAGGGGGAAGTAGTACTGGAATAGGAATGGGAATGGGTACTGGAACAGGTGGTGATAAAGGGGGAAGTGGTACTGGAATAGGAATGGGAATAGGTACTGGAACAGGTGGTGATAAGGGTGGTGGTACTGGAACGGGAATTGGCATGGGAGTAGGAAGTGGTAGTGAAGGGGGGAGTGGTACCGGAATTGGAATTGGCACTGGTGAAGGAAGTGGTAGTGATGGGGGAAGTGGTACTGGAACTGGAATTGGCATTGGAGTAGGCAGTGGCGGTGACGGGGGAAATGGCACTGGAATAGGCCTTGGCACAGGAGTAGGAAGAGGCAGTGACGGGGGAAGTGGTACTGCAACGGGAATTGGCACTGGAGTAGGAAGTGGAAGTGATGGGGGAAGTGGTACTGGAGTGGGAGTGGGAGCCGTGGAAGCAATTGGGACTGATGGAGGAGAGACTTCTGGAACGGCAACTGGAAGCGGGATAGGAGAGGGTGTTGACGGAGGGAAGGTCACTGAAATTGGAATCAGTTATGGAATAGGAACTAGCAGTGGTCTCGCCAACGATACTGAAGAGGACACTGGCGAGGCAAGTGACACTCAAGTGGACACTGGCAAAGCAAATGACACGCTAGTGGAAAATGGAGCAAGTAACACGAATGGGACGGCAAGTGGTGCAGATATGCTAGAACTAAGTGCTCCTGAATATCCTGAGTTGGATCTACCAAATGCAACAGATTTAAATATACCACCAATTAGTGCACCCGAGTTCTCACCCATTGAAGCACCAGATATACCACCAATTAGTTTCCCCGAATTACCACCCATCCAGCCACCAGAAATGCTAGCAGTTAGTTTTCCCGAATTACCACCCATCCAGCCACCAGAAATGCTAGCAGTTAGTTTTCCCGAATTACCACCCATCCAGCCACCAGAAATGCCAACAGTTAGTTCACCTGAATTATCACCCATCCAGCCACCAGAAATGCCAACAGTTAGTTCAGCTGAATTACCACCCATCCAGCCACCAGAAATGCCAGCAGTTATTTCAGCTGAATTACCACCCATCCAGCCACCAGAAATGACAACAGTTAGTTCACCTGGATTATCACCCATCCAGCCACCAGAAATGCCAACAGTTAGTTCACCTGAATTACCACCCGTCCAGCCACCAGAATTACCAACAGTTAGTTCAGCTGAATTACCTCCCATTCAGCCACCAGATATGCCAAGTATAAATGGCAGTGATTTTGGAGTTGTTACCGAATTAGGTGTAAGTAATGCTGATATGGGATCTGACTACGGAGCAGTAGGTAACACCGCAAGTTACACTAAAGATGTAAGTAGGAAACTGGGTGATTTAGAAGCACCAGCATTTCCATCCGTGCCAGTACCAAGTCTGCCATATCCAGATGCACCAGAGCTGGATATCCCTGAAATTCTATCCATTGAGGTACCAGGAGAGCTAGACATGAACGGTACAGATGTATTTGAAATAGAGGACCCAGAATATCTGTCCATTGAGGTACCAGGTGAGACAGAGGTAAATGGAACAGATATATTTAAAATAGATATCTCTGAGTTTCCATTAATTGAGGTACCAGGTGAGCCAGATGGAACAAGTATTCCTGAAATTGATATCCCTGAATTTTCGTCCATTGAAGTATCAGGTGAGCTAGATGTAAATAGAACAGGTATTCCTGAAACTGATACCCCTGAATTTTCATCCATTAAGGTACCAAGTGAACTAGATATAAATGGAACAGGTATTCCTGAAAGTGATATCCCCGAATTTCCATTAATTAAAGTAGGTGAGTTAGATGCCAATGCAACAGATACAGTTAAAATAAATATCCCTGAAATTTCATCCATTCAGGACCCAGGTGATCTAGACATGAACGGAACAAATATTCTCGGAATAGATATCCCTGAATATCCCTCCATTCAGGAACCAAAAGAGCTGAAAGAACCAGATACTCCCGCACTAGATATCCCTGAAAGTTCACCTATTCAGGTACCAGAAGAACTAGAAATGAAAACACTAGATGCACCCGCATTAAATATCCCTGAATTTCCACCCATTCAGGTACCAAAAATGCCAGATGTAGGTGTGGATATTCAGTCAATGTTATTTCCATCCATTTTGCAACCACTTGCAAGTAAAGGAGAGAGGCGAAGAAAACGCTCAAGATGTGGTGAACATAATAGAAGCTTTAAGTGTTCTAATCGACTTAACAAGAGAGATGACACGAATCAAAGGACTGGAACATCATGGCAGCCCTCAGGAACTGGGGT